GGGCCAGCGCAGGGATGGGGCCGGCCGCCTCCCCTCACTCCTCCTGCCCACTGGACCAGCCTGGGCAGCTCGGCTCTGCTGCGCCCCATGGGATGGGCTGTGCAAAGCTGGTGAGCAGCCAGGCAGCGGCTGACCTGATACAGGCAGCACTGAGCCTGCCCCTGCCCAGTGACCCTGCCCACAGGTCACTGTGGCTTTTGCCTCCACAGCGCTGGAAGAAAACAAGCCCCAGCCCTGGCAGAGCCTGGAGGAACTCGTGGCTGAGGCCAGGTTGTCTCTGGGCCACGCAGCCCACCATGGATATGAGCCCATGGCACACAGCAGGCAGCCAAACCTGCTGCCGCAATGGGAAAGCCCCAGGACAGTGCTCACAGAGGGGGGTGGCCACAGGATGTCCCCTGAGCCAGCCCAGCTCAAGTCCCTGGGATGAAGGCACATCCCTTGGACAAATGCTAGCTGGGGCAGCCCTGCAGTAGTGACCTCTAGGAGGTATGTGCGGTTCAAAGATCACCAAGGACACATCCCCTCCTCGGGAAAAAAGTGCTGGGAGGGGGACTGCAGCAGAGCAAGGCTGGGAATGGCAGTAATGGTCATGGTGAAGGCACAGGAGGTGCTGGGCTGGAAGTCAGGGTTGGGGTTAGTGTCTGGAGCTAAAGAAGGTGCCAGTGAGAAGCCGCCGCTTGACCTCCCTCCAGAGAAGGTCCCGCTCCCGGTTTGCTCGCTCCATGAAGCCCCTGTTCTCCTGGGCCCTGCGGGACAGGTAGGGCAGCACCTCCTGCACCGGGCCATAGGGCATGTACTTGTAGACGGGAAAACCAGCCTGACCTGGAAGAGAGAGGGGTTGGGAAAGGACCAAGAAAGCAGAAAAACTGGGATGGGGGGCGGGGGGAGGGAAGGAAGGGAGCACGGATGAAAAGAGAGAAAAGAAAAAGAGGAAACAGTGGAAGAAGGAAGCCAAAAGCCTCCCCCTCACCTCCCATCCCTCCCGTGCCCCTCAGGCTGTGCTGCTGAGCAAGGGGTGCGGGTGGGAGGGATGCAGTGGCCGGAGGCTGTGGTCCAGCACTGGGGAAGGGAGCCCAGGGAGTGGCCAGACAAGGCTGAGCCTGCTCAGCACTGAGAGCTTGGGAAGGCGCCGAGGTCACAGGAGCCCTGGGAATGTCGGGAGCCGGGGCCGGGCCAAAGCAAGAAGCGCTCAACCAGAAACATCAAGTTAACACATTTTTCCAGCATGAGCAGGGGAGGATGCAGCCAAACCCCACTGGCGATGGGAGCTCCAGGGCAGAGCCATGGCTG